AATTACTTTAAAGCGTTACTCCACCCCAAAATGAAAATTTTGTCATTAATCACTTACCCCCATGTTGTTCCAAACCCATAAAAAAACTTTGTTCGTCTTCAGAACACAATTTAAGATATTTTGGATGAAAACCGGGAGGCTTGTGACTGTCCCATTGACTGCCAAGTAAACAACACTGTCAAGGCCCAGAAAAGTATGAAAGACATCATTAGAATAGTCCATCTGCCATCAGTGGTTCAATCTGAATTTTATGAAGCTACGAGAACACTTTTTGTACGCGAAGAAAACAAAAATTCGTCAATCATTCGTCAACAATTCGTCTGCTCCGCGTCACCGTAGCGCCATTTTGGAGAGTATCCACTGAACGCAAACTGCGTATGCTGTGTCAGCCGCGACACACGGATGCGCTGTTTTCGTTCAAATCAAAGCATAAATAAACTTAGAAAACTGATCCGTGTGGTGCGGCTGACACAGCATACGCAGTTTGCGTTCAGTGGATATTCTCCAAAATCGCGCTACAGTGACGCAGAAGAGACAAATTGTTGAATAAAATCGTTATTTTTATTTTCTTTGCGTACAAAAAGTATTCTCGTCGCTTCATGAAATTCAGATTGAACCACTGATGGCAGATGGACTATTTTGACGATGTCTTTCATACTTTTCTGGACCTTGACAGTGTTGTTTACTTGGCAGTCAATGGGACAGTCACAAGCCTCCCGGTTTTCATCCAAAATATCTTAAATTGTGTTTCGAAGACGAACAAAGCTTTTACAGGTTTGGAACGACATGGCGATAAGTGATTAATGACAAAATTTTCATTTTGGGGTGGAGTATCCCTTTAAGTACAGCCATTGCAACTGCTTTGAAAATGATTTTGCATGGGAAAGTTTGAACTGTCACATGTAGACATCAAAACTCAGCCTACCAAACTCAGTAATGGTGACAATCAACAAAACAAAAGACTCATGCCGCAGTGCATGCTGCCAAACTCAACAATAGCACCCAGCATGTATTACGGGATGGATGTGTGCACGCAAACTGACTTCATACATCCACAAAAAATGACTGCCTCAGCAGATTAAGTCACTGAGCAAGAATGATGAAAAAAAGAGAAGCTAGTTTTGAGAAAAGATCATGCAGCGCATGTTTAACAGTTAAACCCAGTCCACTCAGTGTGATAAAAAAAAATGTGTCTGAAATGAAGTTCCCAGTCTTCACCTGATCTGCTGAGACAACTTTCACGAAGCAACTGAATACAAACCTCTTCCACAAGCACTTGACTCAGCAGCAGCTCTTGTGTTTATTGGCCTTACTGAGATCAGGATCTAGTCAAAACCATCACAAAGAACTTTATAATGTCACCTCAATTAAAGTTATACAATTCATTAATGTGTTAGTTTAACTACAACCTAACTGTCCTAGTTAGAATTTTGCTGCAGGCTACATGTAATGTGCAGTAGGGGTGAGAATCTAATAGCTGCAGGATTTTATTAATAAATATAGATGGTAATCTAAGAAATAGCAATAATCCAAGACAAAGGTAAATGCAACCCAAGAGTTTGTGTTAAAGAAGTAACTAATGAATAAAACACGGGGCTATAAATACAAGAGATTAGAAAGAAACTAAACTAGACACAGGTGAAGGGGAAATCAAAAGCCATGGAAAGCTAACAATATACTGTAGAAACTAAAGAAAACCGAGCGAAACCACAGGAACAACAGAACAAAAAGAGCATCAAAATAAGACTCTTTGAATGGCAAGAACCAAAGCCATTGCACTACACACAATGAAACTGTGAAATTATATCCAATGTTATTAAAGTTAAATGGTCGGGAAAATGGGGATATGGTTGCATTATGTGTAATAGTATACATAGCATATAATATGTATGCTTGGAGTACGTTAGAATACTGCTCGGTCTTCCTTTGTAGACTCTGCTTTACCACTGCTTCTCCACAGCCTCATTTTAAGCATGTGCATGACAATGTGGCTATTGCTCCATGTTTGTGGTTAATGTATGTGAGTGTGTGCATGTCTTCTTGAGGCGTGAATAGTGTGAGTGTGTGTTCTTGTGAGTATAGCATGTGATTGACCGGCCCTCCACAATTTCACTTCCTCTATATGAGAAACAGTTTTACTGTGAAATAAAGTATACAGAATCTATGAATGCTACACTCTTAAAAATTAATGCTCCAAAAGGGTGCTTTTGCAGTGATTCCATTGAAGAACCCTTTTTGGTTCCCCCAAAAAACTTTCAGTGAACGGATCTTAAATGAACCATTTTGAAGAACATTTAAAAAATCTAAAGAACCTTTTCTGCATTTGAAATGTTTTTATGGATGTTCAAGGTTCTTCGTGGAACTATTGATGCCAATAAAGAACCTTTATTTTTAAGAGTGTAATGTCTGGAAAAAAAAAAGATCTTACTGCGTGAATGTGAGATGTTAATATCATTTACTATGTGTATATGAAATATAAGATTGATATCCAGCTGCATATGCATCCCTATATATCCGTGCAGATTATTTGTCAATCTGTCAATGTCAAGGACACAATCAAGTGAATTATTTTTAAAATTAAGGCATTACAATGTTATTGTTATCCATTTTAGGCAACTACAAAGTAAAGTCAGGCTGCAGTTTCCTTTTGTTTGAAATCTATTTGTTTTTTGTTTGAGTTCTGTTTGGCATGCAATGGACAGAGACTTTTCTTTCCTCTTCCTGACATTCATCTGAGGTGAACTGCTTCTTGAATAAGAACAAATGCAGGGCGGGGCTTAATTCTGTCCATGGGGAGGTAACTGGATGGTTGTGGTTTGCTATTGGACAATCTCCTGTGAGTGACAAGTTGCCCCGCCCTCGTGACAGTAAATGCATCATCAGAGAAGATATGTAGCTGTTAGAGTGAAGACAAGTTATTTTGATTAACATTTTTTAAAATATGTGTCACGATTTTTATCAAAAACTGAATATTACATACTGAAAAGACCCGAGTTTGGTGACCCCTGACCAAAAGCGACTATATGGTGTATATGCTGTGGCGTATACACCAGGAACTATTGTACGTATACATACAGGAACTATTGTCAACGTTTTGGTTGCCAAATTGTGGAATATTCATCAATATTTCATTTAATTGGCATCCATTTTATATCTCTTTGCCAATTACGCAGTTTCTCAATTTATGTTAATTTGCGTTGCTTTAGAAACACAAATGTAGAAATATTTGTCGTGCCAATAAAACACCATGAAATTTAAACTGAGAACTGAGTAGCACCTTACTTCACTTTTACATATGTTTTGTGTTCTTTTAAAATACTTGAATCAGTGTTTCTGCTCATTGACCACTGAATTATTGTAGTTTTATTTAAAGGAACCGTTTACCCAAAAATCATTTTTCCCTCATATTGTTTGAAGCCTGTATGATTTTCATTATGCTTTGTAAAACAAACGACAATTTTAGGCAGAATTACAGACTCAGTCGATATTCACTATCATCAGTGGGAGAAAATAAATAAATAAAAATCAAGGGGGATGGTGTGGTCAAGGATATCATTGGAGGGGTGAAGGTCCAGTAGATAACCTTATATAATGATTACACATTTTGTCCAATTCTTAAACACATTTGTATTAGAAAAAGCATTATTAAATCAACTATGATTTATACGCTGTTTTCCTTGTGGGGCCTGAAAAAATAGCCCCAAAATGTCAAAATTCCAAGTTTTACTCTCCTTGTGGAGACATTTGGTCCTCAAAACATAGGGTGCCAAACGACCTAAGTAATGCCTTCTGACAGCATTGAAGTGTTTATATTCTAATCACTGATTTAAGTAATAAATCTGATTCTGTTGCTTGCAAAATTCCACATTCACAGATTCAAATTCTAGACCTCTTTTGTTGTTTGTTTGTTTTAATACAATTTAAGCAATAGTCCTCATATTAGTTTAAATATCTCAGAAAAAAAAACAAAACTTTAAGCGCATAATCAGTTTGCAGTTCTTTTCCTGTATATTTAGTGACTTGTAAATGTCAAAACTATTGCTAGTTTGTAATGCATTTAATACCCCTTCCTTTTTATTTTCTTTCTTCGGTTTTATTTTGTTTCTCGTTGTTACTGCCCGTATTTTTTGAGCATTCATTAAAAAACTAAGTAAATAAATAAAAATCTGCAAAACACGCGAGATGTGAGCACAGCGGGCAACATGTATGTCTAGCGCATGTTTACATGGAAAAACAATTGGAAAAGTAGTTTTGATTTGAGTTTTCATTTTGTGTGAATTTAGGCTGTCTAAAACGTGTTTTCTGACCATTATTTCTCAATCTTTGGCTGCTAAAAAGCAGTATAGGAAACAGTGCTTACATGTATAAAATAGAAGTTAAATCTTTGGTGGCAGATGGGGCAGCAATGCTTTTGGGTGCCGGTTGCCACTCCATCTGCCACCCAGCTCCACCCCTGCCTCCTTTCTTCTGTACATGAGTGAATGTATGTTTTGAAAACCCCTCACTGTGCACATACTGCTTCCTAGTGGTGACAGCCCAAACAAACACTTTACAGTAGACATCTCAGAAGTTAAAGGCGCTCAGTATCAGCATTGACCACACTGACAGACTGATGCTGCAATAAACACTTTATTACTATCAGATTCGTATTTCTCCCATGTATGGCTTCCAGCTCGTCTGCCTCTTCCTGCAGCAGCAGAAACGTTTCAGTGTTCTTTTGTGTCTGCTGCTGTTGTTCAATTCACATCTAAAGATTACAAACTACAGCTGATTTCAGGAGTTATAAACAACAGAAACCTTAATCTGTGTACAATCTGTTTGTTCTCCAGGTGTGTTTGGTGAGTCAGTGTCAGTGATGGAGGGAGATTCTGTCACTCTACACACTGATGTTACTCAAATACGTGAAGATGATTATATACTGTGGAAATTTGGACCTGTAAAATCTCTGATAGCTCAAATCAGAAGAAATTTTGGAATCTTCAACACATTTGTTGGTCCAGATGAGAGATTCAGAGACAGACTGAAGCTGGACAAACTGACTTTATCTCTGACCATCACAAACACCACAACTCAACATGCTGGAGTTTATCAACTAGAAATACATAGAGCGAAACTGTCATCAAAAACATTCAGTGTTTCTGTCTATGGTGAGTAGAGATCATTTGTCTTTCAAACTATTTTATTTTTTACATGCTGATATTTTATAGTTTAAGATGACACACACACTCACTGTGAACACACTCAACATTGTTGATTAGTTTTATCCAGATTTGTTTATTGTCTCTTGTTTTCAGCTCGTCTGCCTGTTCCTGTCATCAGCAGAGACTGTTCTCCATCATCCTCATCATCATCATCACAGCAGAATTGTTCATTGCTGTGTTCAGTGGTGAATGTGGGTCATGTGACTCTCTCCTGGTACAAAGGAAACAGTTTATTGTCCAGCATCAGTGTGTCTGATCTCAGCATCAGTCTCTCTCTACCTCTGGAGGTGGAATATCAGGATAAAAACAGCTACAGCTGTGTGCTCAACAATCCCATCAGCAACCAGACTCAACATCTGGACATCAGCAAACTATGTCTCACATGTTCAGGTACGGCAGCGCATATGCATTTACTGAATTAATTTGTTAATGTATCAAGAGAGCTTAACTTAAGATGCCAGAAATGATGAATGAGCTTCTGTCATCATTTACACGTCTTTCTAAACGGTTTGGATTTTTTTTTTCTTCTGTTGAGCAGAAAAGGAGATATTTTCGAGCTCATGTCAGAGACTGAAATGAGAAAATGTATCATTTGTTTCATTATTTGTTGTTTTTTCAGAGGTTCACATCCACTGTTGTGATACAGTTGAAGCTGTGATCCGATTGGTCGTCGCTGCTCTGATGGGCGTGGCTGCTGCTGCTGCTGTTGTTCTTCTGATCAATGACATCAGATCTACAAGAGGTTAAAAGAAGAAAACAGAACAGATATCAAATATTCTCATATATATTGGAGTTTTAATCTTAAAGATGAATATATGAGTGGTCTAATTGTTTAATGATGGCAAAATGAAGTTTTGCTCTCCATCTGGTGGCCAAAACAATGAATATTTTTAAAATTTCATTTCATTTTTAAATGTCGCCCATTTTACATTTCTTTTTCAACTACACTGTTTTAATTTTTTTCTTGATTTGTTACGTTGAATTTTCATTTTGTTTCATTATTATATGCAGCAACCTCTAAAATACAAAAGTGAAATGATTTGTCACCAATTTTTTTTTGAAAACTGAATATTACATACTGAAAAGATGAAAGATCTATGAATCATATGCATATATTTTAATTAAAGGGGTGTCATAATAAGAATAATTAATTCAGAATCAGACTGAATGACGGTTGAATAAAAAACAGCAAGAAACAGTATATTTAACAAACACAGACAGTGTAAATGGTAATATTCCATATACCTGTAAATTTTTTTGGGAAAAAACAATATTTTAGGAAGATTTTGAAATCTATATCAATATAAAACTGATATGATAGAAATGTGTGTATGATGTGCTTTACGTAATTGTTATGCTTTATGTAAATAATGTGATTATTAGAAACACAAATGTAGAAATTGTCATGCCAATAAAACACCATAAAATTGATAATATAAAATTTACATACATTTGATAATAATGATAATAATTTTACAGTAGTTTTACCACTAATTTTACAGATTTTACTGTAGTGTGGAAATACTGAAAATATTAATAAAATTAATAAATATATGTAACTATAAATGAATAATGTAACTATGAATAACCAAAATTACTTTTTTAAAAGAACATTTTCACATTAAAAAACTGTAAAACCCTTTACCCTCATTCACTGTTCCCTACATTAGTTTACTATAGTCCTCGACGAGTGAATAAAAACAAGTGAGCGAATATAGAGACAAACTCAGTAATGTAAAATGAACACATCATTTGTTTAATCAGTTTAAACTTTAACGTCTTCAGTCATGGCCTGGTTAGAGAGTCAGACTTGTAACCTGAAGGTCGCAGGTTCGAGTCTCAGGTCCGGCAGGGATTGTAGGCGGGGGTAGTGAATAACCAGCACTCTCTTCCACCTTCAATACTACGACTGAGGTGAGACCCTTGAGCAAGGCACTGAACCCCCAACTGCCTCCTGGGTGCCACAGCATTGGCTGCTCACTGCTCCGTGTGTGTGTGTGTGTGTGTGTGTGTGTGTACGAATTCCGAGTATGGGACACTATACTTGGCCACACGTCACATTACTTTCACTTTCACTTCTTTTATTTCAGTTGATTTCATGTAAATCGGCTGGAAGTCAGTTAGTTGTGTTTTTACTCACCTCTTCCCTTTTTTTGTTCGTTTCTTTCTTTCAGTGATTCTGTTAGTTAAAAGCACGTGTAGACTAATGCAGAATAAGCACTTAATCACTTAATTATCTAATTTACTAAAAAAAATGCTTCAGTGTAACTTTAACACTCAGTAGTGTGCACACTGAGCAGTGTTCATTTAACACTGATGATTGTGCTGAAGACTAGAGCCTGTGTTTAAGGCAAAGATGGAGCAGAAAACATTGATGATGCTTTAGTTAAAAGGCAGTAACTGTGTAGTTTCCAATGCAGTGATGTCTATCAGTGAGTTACATTAGTTCAGGCATGTGTGCTATTGCTAAAAGTTGACTCCAAGAGATTTGAGTTTAATTGGTTTAATTATTTATTAAGTAATTCAGCTGAGTTTTAAATATAAACACAGTATAAATATTAGTTTTTGAATGGTTTAAGGCAATTACTTAAGAAATTACTTACATATAGTGAACTGAATTACTTATAGCTACATGAATTTGAATTATTTTTATGTAATAGTTAATGAAATATACACTAAAATACAATTAAATAATAAAAACAGCAGTGACAACATGCCACAGGAAATCTGAAGAGGACTTGTTATTATAGACATAAATGTATCATTTTTCTCATGCATGAATAAAAATGATAATACAGCAAAAACAGTGAGAGAGTAATTTTTGTTCTGGAAGTATGTGTCCCATTCATTTTCTCCATAAAGATTTCACAAAAAAATGTCTTCTAAAGCATATGCATACAGATGAATTACAACATTACGAACTTTGATTTGGAGGGAATTAAAAAAAATCAATTGTAGGTAAAATAACACGTAATGAACCTGTGATGCAAAACTTGTCATGTTTCCCTGATGGATTTTTCCTGTAATTGTTCATGTAATATCGATTACATAATCAGATTCCAAAAATTATACTTGTAATTATACATGTTAAAATCATCATAATCAGATTACAGTTACTTGTTATGGATTACATTATATATCATTCACACAATGGCATCCATTGGCCTTCACTAATTATTGATCTGGACAAAAGTCAGGACAAACCTGCAAAACTCTGAATGTGTAATGTCATTGCTGTTTTTGTTGTTGTTTATTGTTTGTTCATGTAATGCAGACATTCCCAAAATTGTTTTTGTCAGACAAACCCCTTTGACCTAAAATATTTACTTGAAATCCCCTGAGATTTTAGACAAGTTAGTTCAAACGTAATCTAAAAGTATTTAGAATACATTACCTAAAAAGACTAATCTAGCTTACATTACAAACTACAATTTTCATTTAATTTGTAATAAGTAACTACACGTTGCACTGCTTACAGGTCTGTTTATACCAGATTACAGCTACTTATGGATTACATTACATATTATTCACACAATGGCATCCATTGACCTTCACTAATTATTTCAAATGTTGAGTAACATTATACAGTTTTTGGACAAAGCTTGAAAAAACATAGTCCCCTGGGAATTATAAGGTTCTATCTGACATTTTTGTCAAAATTTAGTTATTAACTTATTCTGTGACAACTTATTTACATGATGTGATAGATTTTTTAATGTGTACATTTTGGGACTTTTTATTTAAAAAACAAAAAGGTTCTATCTGCACAGTGGAATGGAATGCAAAAACTTTGAAGCTCAAAATCTCAAAACTACTCGGAATGCAAATAGAACCTTATAATTCCAAGGGGACGACATTTCAACCTCAAGGTTCTATCTGACATTTTTGTCAAAATGTAGTTATTAACTTATTCTGTGACAACTTATTTACATGACGTGATAGATTTTTTAATGTGTACATTTTGGGACTTTTTATTTCAAAAACAAAAAGGTTCTATCTGCACAGTGGAATGGAATGCAAAAACTTTGAAGCTCAAAATCTCAAAACTACTCGGAATGCAAATAGAACCTTATAATTCCAAGGGGACGACATTTCAACCTCTGAGGTACAATGAAAGTAACAGTTCTGAACAGTGACAGGAAAAGTTAGCATTTTTTTGCATAATGTGCATCATGTATAATCATTTGACGATAGTCGCCTATTTATTTTGGATCAAAGACAATTTCCTCAGTTTTCATTATGTTTATTATTACTTATTATCACATCAGTCAAGAATCCGGCTAATTTTTGACTTGTATTTAAAAAAAAAATAAAATAATAATAATTAAAAATGTTTAATTAAGAAACAACAAGGTTCAAAGTCACTTTCCAGAACCTTAACCTGCTCTGTTGAGCTGTGGTGGAACAAGGACCCGTCCTTCATCTTATTATAATAACTCCTGTGTAGTGTTGTCACGGTACCAAAATTTCAGTATTCGGTACCAATACCAGTGAAAATCCACGGTTCTTGGCAACCCTGGAAGAGGATAGCTTTCTGATAGCGCATCAAGAACCGGGTTGACCGGGTACTCGGTACCACCGGTACTTAAAAAAACCTGGTACCGTAACGTTTTCATTTTTTTATTACCGACTTGGTACCGAAATACCGGGTCTTTTGACAACACTACTCCTGTGTTAAAGTTCTTGTGATGCTCATCTGCTGATTTGAATAAAAACATGATACATTTTCCTAAATTACTAAATTTAAATGTACTCTAGATCAGTTTACAGCTAGTGTCACATAGTTAACAGTTGGTATAATAAATTTTAGCTGCACACTTCACCTGTACTACATCTGACCAGCACAAATTCAAAAGTTATACCAAAACCAAAGCAATGGAAAATATTACAAAAATATTTAAATGAAGACAATATCTCTTAGTCCTGAAGAAAAATACCCTTGAATCAACACAATGATAAAAGTGAACAACAACTGAAAGCATCGCAAGAGCATGGAAAATAATAATATAATAAACATTAATAAATTATTACATGATTATAAATTAATAATAAATCCAAAAAAACAAACAAAAAAAAAAACAGAAACACAACTGTGATATATGGATACTCCCTTGAAGCTAAGGGGTAAACAGCTAAGTGCATTACAATTAGTGTGTCCAGTTTTACAATTAGCGTTTCATCAAGTTAAACCTTAAAAACAAAACCTAGAATAATTATGTGCTTGTAAATTGGCTTTAATGCTAATAAAACAAGGGAAATAAAAGATGAATGTATTATGTTTTACAGTGAAGATTAGGGGTGCTCATTTTAACCGGTTAACCGTTAATTGACCATAAGAATTTTGACCGATTAATAAAATCAATAAAACGGTTTAAAAAGTAATTTATTTAGTAATTTATCAAAATATTTTAAAAGGTTTGCTGCATGGTTAAAATACGCTACACGTAAAAAAAAACAAGTTGCGTATAAGTCGCATTTTATTTCATTCAGAAATGCCGATGCGAAACGTTTACAAACATTATAATAAACACTGTAAACATAGCTAGGCTATTTTAGTTCCCCTCACTCCACAACAAATCCTTTTAATTAAAAGCATTTAGAAAAGAACAAGAATTAAATATTAGAAGATATAGCTATATAAACGACAAGCCAAAATGAATTAATTTAGGCTAAAACGAAACTGAAACCAATGGTGGGTCTCTCATTCGACAAAATCAAATGTTTCCATATTCGCGATGTATTTGAAT